TAAGGACCGACCTAGGGTTGCTTTTCCGACTCGGGGAATTCGCCACACGACAAAGTCGCTCTTTCTTTCTTTCTCTCTTTCGTCCTGTCGCGTGAAAAACCGCGCGTTTAATTGACGAGAAAGCCAGTGCAAGCAATAACGCGAATATCGACGCGTTAATTTCATTTGGGAAGTTTATTTTGGGAAATTCAAAGGATCACAGTCCCGCCGCGAGCCGGGATTTTTCGTTAGTCGCAGTCACGTGACGAAAATCAACGTTTGAGGCGGATAGTACGAAGGAGACGTTGTTCATGTGGCGCGATAACAGTTCAACAAACAAGTCAATTATGTAGTTCTGCAATGGTTTCCGTGACACGGTCGCGTATTGACCGCGCATGTGTGTGTGTATGTATGTGGTCGACGCCAAGTCCTCCAACGATGACCAATCGACGCGATATCGATCGAATTAGCGCACAATTATTGTCATTAACGCGTTATTTAAATCCGTTATCTTCGCGGCGCGCGAGACAGCTCGGCCGACGAGACATATTTGCTGGTCAAGCGTGATTATAATATGTATTTACGTCTGCGGGCTATTATCGCGCGATTAGATAACCGGAAGAAGCGCGAACACAATTCACGAATCGTCTTGTTTATTCGCAGCCACGCGCGAGATACAGGAGCGAGTGTGCTCTGAATGAATTCAAGGCCGGCCATTCTCGTCATCGTCCAATCGTCGAGAGACGCACTAGATATTGTAAACACCAATTTACAGAAAACGTCATGTCTCGCGCGGATAATCTGCGCAGCGTTGTGCGCGCTCGAGCGGAGGCAGGCGCCAAACGCGCGTTTGCTCTCTCGTCGCAACTCTTCTCTCATCTCGACTGCAGGTTGCATTAAATTTGGAGTCTGAAAATCGCGCCCGATGATGCATTCGGACGGTCGTCGGGAATATGCGCTTCCCGTTCCCGGACACACGTGTCGGCCGTCTATTTCAGAAAACGCCCGAGGCGGTCACTTAATTGAGCGATGCGTTTATGTAAGTCCACTAATCGATGTGTATGTGTGTGTGCGCGCGCGATACGCTGTAACATTAATCCATCTCATTTCGGATTCCGACACGTGCGCGATTCCTCTTAAATTTTAGCGAAATGTATAAATCTTCTTATTTCTATCGAGTCGTCTGCGCTCTCTCTCTCTCTCTCTCTCTGTTTTTCTTTTCTAATTTTTTATTATTATTATATAATTATTGTATAATTGTATAGTTATTGTATAATTGTATACTGCTTATGCGCTTGTCCCAGAGCGCCAATAAACTACTTCCTTCTCCGCTTATTCCTGTTTATTTTACAGTTTAGCTCTAAAGTTCCATTTTACGTAATTTCGGTGAAATATCTTTTCTTGTTGTCGACAAATTTTTTGCGTGTAACGCTGTGTGGTACAAATTAATATTTGCATATTTCCTAATCGTTCTGTATCGTTCATACATGTTTAGATCTCACTTGTAGTATTTTGTTATTATTTATTTCTTTTTTTTTCGAGCACCGAGTAAACTCTACAATCGTGCACGATCGACAAATCGGGTCAGTGGAGATTTGAAAATTAAATCGCGATTCGCTCTCGAAGTATCCGACGAGAGAGGAATGCGACGAAACTTGGTGTCTCGATCGCCAAGTTCCTCGCCCTAACGCGGATATCTCTAAACCCTCGATAATCTCGGAACGTTGCGTCGTCGAGGATATGGCGGACGAGAGAGTGGCGAACTTGTTCGCGACCTAATTAGATAAAACTCGGGGCGATACTTGGCGAAAGAGCCGAGGACACTTTGAGAATTTTTGCCAAACGCTCGCGGGGCGCGCGCGCAAAGTATCAATCTCCGTTCTAATTAAGCGTCGCAATCTTACAGCACGGCTAATTACCCTTCGCGCAGCCCGAAAATGAGGCTGAAACACTTTCCATCGGGGAAATTCCCCCGGCTTTTTCTACGACCGGTTTCTGTGCCCGAGCACATCGGTCACCTTTAACCGCATTTTAACAGATCCCCGCTCTCGTCCTCTCGCGCACTAAGATAAAAGTCAATTCCCTCTCTTTCTAAAGCAAGATCGTGCGAGCGGAATCTCGCGCGCTGGGATTAATAACTGTGCGAGAGAGAGAGCACAATTCGACCTGTCGCAGAGGATGCCCGAAGTGTCCGTTTTGACGGAAGCGACATGCAAATGCGCGGGACACACGTCGATTTCAAGTGCAACACACGGCGCGGCGGGTCGCGTTACCAAACTTTTCGCAATTTCGCCGAAACTTGGCACCGCACGGCTATTTTGGCGCGCGCTGAAGCTAATCCCGATTGATGTTGACGGCGACGGAATGTTAAAGCCGCGGAAGCCCCGGAGTGGAATTTTTGCACGAGTCTGCTGTCTCCCGCCTTTTTCCGCATTTTTTTCAAGAGGCGTCGCGACGTCGACGTCGTGTCATGTCGTCATGCGCGTCCCGCTTTAATCCGCACGAGATATTCTCCTCCTCCTTCTCTTCTTCTTCTTTCTCCTCTCCGTTATGTACTTGACGCAGTGGCCTTGACCCACGTTTCGCGTAAGACCGCACTATTTTCCACATTTTTCACACACACATTTGGCGAGTGACGCGCGCGAAAATACTGCGAGAAAGAAAAAGAAGAAATAACAACAAAAACAACAAACACACTCCTTGAGAGAGAAAAAAGCCGTCGACTCAATAAAACTTGGCTTGAACGAGCAAGATTCGTTCGAGCAGATGTCTAGTTGACTGAACGAATTATATATATACAACAATTGTGCCATGATGAGTTATCAATTGATTCAATGATCGCGATTTAGTCGGTAACTGTATCAACGCGACTGGTTGTTACGCTACGCACAAACTTGTCCGATAGATGCGACATTTCTCGGAAGGCGGACGACCGCCTATTTCGTTCCGCCTTTTATTCATTTCGGCGTCGCTTCTCCCAAGTTCAGTGACGCAATCAACGCGGTGTGTCAACCGCTGTTAGGCTTATTGTTGTAAGAATAATTGGCTATGATTATTGGCCAATTCTTACTTCTTACTCCAAGCTCACTCCGCATATTGTAGACCAAGTCTTAAGGGGCGTCTACATTGGAAGTAAATAGCAAGAAGTAGGAAGCAAGAGTAAGAAATTGACCAACCACAGTCGAATGTGAGAAGAATAATCAACTATGATTGGTCAATTTCTTATTCTTACTTCCTACTTCTTACTGCTTACTTCCAATGTAGACGTCCCTTAACCCTTTGTCCATAATAAAGTGACCTACCACAGTCGATTATTTTAAAAATAATCAACTGTGGTTGGTCAATTTCTTACGGCTTAAGAATTAAAGCAAGGTTGTGGACAAGGAGTAAGAAATTGACCAATCATAGTTGATTATTCTTCTCATGTTCGATTATGGTTGGTCAATTTCTTACTCTTACTTCCTACTTCTTACTGCTTACTTCCAATGTAGACGTCCCTTAACCCTTTGTCCATAATAAAGTGACCTACCACAGTCGATTATTTTAAAAATAATCAACTGTGGTTGGTCAATTTCTTACGGCTTAAGAATTAAAGCAAGGTTGTGGACAAGGAGTAAGAAATTGACCAATCATAGTTGATTATTCTTCTCATGTTCGATTATGGTTGGTCAATTTCTTACTCTTACTTCCTACTTCTTACTGCTTACTTCCAATGTAGACGTCCCTTAACCCTTTGTCCATAATAAAGTGACCTACCACAGTCGATTATTTTAAAAATAATCAACTGTGGTTGGTCAATTTCTTACGGCTTAAGAATTAAAGCAAGGTTGTGGACAAGGAGTAAGAAATTGACCAATCATAGTTGATTATTCTTCTCATGTTCGATTATGGTTGGTCAATTTCTTACTCTTACTTCCTACTTCTTACTGCTTACTTCCAATGTAGACGCTCCTTTACACGCGTTACGTTTGCACGCCGAATTTACCCGCCAGTGTAACACGCACTCGATAGACGTGTGAGCGCGTTTTATCGTAACGCGACAATTACTCGTCGCCGCGAGGTGTTTCAATTCAAGACCAGTCGTGTGTTTGGAGTTCATCGCCCACGACAGTAACGGGCACGCATTATCGACAGCGCGCGCGGCGATACGTCACCCCGGTGAGAGAAAACTAGCCACTCGGGTAGAAGTTGCATACGCGCGATTTGGCCACGAGTGACATCGCCACGCGATCTGGCGCGCGAGAGAATCATCTTACTCGATGACCGTCGGATTAACGTAGCAATCGCGTGCGCGACTTGTCTCGTGCGGAAACTTGTCTGTTCTTCACGCGGAGACGTATGTACGTGCGCTCTCTCGTCACTTTAAGCGGGCCATTAACGTAATGAATCTCACGGCAATACACGGAACGATACACAAATGTTTACATCAAGGAACTTCTGACCGGATGGAGAAGTAATCTGCAGTTAGCGGCCAGTAAGACGAAACTCAACGAGAAACTCGATAACAACTTGTTAAGACGCAAAACGGCAGAACGAGAAGATTCTCGAAAGACCCGCCATTAAGACAAGCCGGTCACTCTAACAACGTTACGTCAAAGAGACGAATACACTCGCATTCCAGCGTTTCTGAGGTACGTCGCGTTCTAAAGTTACGAGAGTGAGAGGAGTAGAAGTAGAGAGAGACTCGAGCCGCTCGTTGCCGACATATACTTCGGGAAATCCGCGGAAACAAGCGCGACAGTAACAGCGAAAGCTCCAGCGACGCGGCTGGAACGACTCGAGGAGCGAAATTCATAAGCGGCAAAGTTCTTCTCGATTGACGAGTCAAAGCGGAGGAGCTCCGCACGGCCAATGGGAACGCAAGCAAATTCAAATTCGAATGTTCAACCACGATTGGCCGTTTGACTTATTCAGATACCATTGCGCACGATACTACGCGCCACCGCTCAAGCGGATGCGAAAAAGAGGAAAAAGCACCGGCACTCGATCTCACCGTAAGATTGAAAACAAGATCGACTTACGGCTATACAAGGCGGTCATCAACAGCGCGAGCCAGGACAGCTGATTCTCCATAAGTGTTTTCATGTTCTAGCTCGCTCCGGTTGGCTGGATCCTCTCCGGCGTGTCTAGATTATTCGGCACCGCGCAGGTATTCGTCACCAAGGGAAGGTCGCGAACCAAAACTGGTCGACGTTACGTGCCGAGTACGAGGAGCGTCCTTCGGCGCGCGTGGAAACGCGAGAGCGACTGTAGAAAGTAGCGAATGCGGTGTCTCGTGCGTGCGTGCGTGCGTGCAAACACGCTGAACTTGCTTCGCTCGGAGACTGTTACGTTGCGCGCGACCGTTTATACGCGGCGTCTCCTCCGTGCAATGCGTAACGCGCGACCGACCGTGCACAACTGACTCGACGCGTCGCGCGGCCAACGTCAGAGAGAATGCCCGCCGAGTTTCGAAGCGCTCAGCGCGCATGCGTGTATCGCTCACGCCACCGCTCTCGTGAGCGTACCGTGCGTCTCTCGCGTCGCGCGCATCGTCTCGTACACCTTCGTCGCGCTGGCGCCGATGTTATTACGGCATCCGTACAACTGGCGTGAGATTTAATAATCGAACCCTTACGCACACATGAGATCACGGTTGACGCAGACGGCGAGGGAGACAGAGAGAGAAAGAAAGAAGGAAGCAGAGAGAGAAACGAGACGTTTCGCGCGCTTTTTCTCCGAACGGTTAACACTCGGGCGAAGCTCCGTATCATTTGCCGGAAATTCCTGTCAAGATACTCGATAACGTATCGTCCGTTTTGACGTAAGAAGTGTGAATTCTTCGCTACGTGGCACTGCGACGTATACGAGGGCGCTTTCTGGTAAGAAGAACGATGAATAGGTCAATTTCGAGATGTAGATTGCGATTAGTCGATGCCATATAGCGCGACGTATTTATGTTGCATATCAAATCAGTATGTGCGTGCATATTTAACTTTTACGCTTAAAGGTTTTTTTGCAACCTCACACTGTAAATTGACTCCGCACGTTTTTGACCAGGTAAGTCTTTAAAAAAATCTGAAAAAATTCAGGTAATATCTTCAAACATTCCAAATTGAGATCTGAATAGAAACATTGTACAATAGTTTGTTTAAATATATTATTTTTGCGAATATATAAAGTGAAAAACAAAAAATGTACTGTTATGATAAAGAAATTATAACTTTTGAAAAAATTATAGAGCAAATATCCAACAGGAAATTAAAGTTTAGTGATCAAACTTTCATGAAAAAAATATAACGAATTTACCAATAACGATTAAGTGCTTAAGTTTAGTGCATGAATTGTTGCAAATTTTGAAATAATAAGGTCAGGATTCAAGGATAAAAAATTTTTTTCTTTACTTTGCATTATTTATTTTGTGTATTAGTATACAAAAATAGATAGTTTAGATGAAATATGTGAAAAAAAATAATTAACTTTATGAAAACACGTGTATAGCGAGAAATATGCTGTATTTATAGGTTAGATCTACATTTATAGCTTGTATAAATATTAATATATTTTTATAAAACAAGTAAAAACAAAACAAATTTTATCGAAAAAAAATTTATTTTTTTGCACAAAAATATGTAGTATATACAGAGTGTAAAAGGGGTCACAGGCGCTCCACGGACAACTTTAACCACGTGGCGTTCCAGTACATAGAGACGCAGGTATGCCACCATGTACAAGCAACGAGCAATTTCTACCCAACATCATTTTTTACAGATAGGAACAATGGTTTGAAACTCGCTGGTTTAAGAGATACACGGGCTTTTAAAATATGCTGGGGTCAATTTGACCCCCTCTACACTGTAAGGGTTATATATAATGATGATCTGTTTAACTTGAAAAGCGGATCGCTCCTCGGTTCTAATCGTACAATGAGTAATGAAAGTGGTGGTATAGGAAAGTAAGGAGAGAGAGACGACCTTAGTTTCCCGCGTGCCACTACTTGATACAGATCGTATACACGCGACATCGCAGCGTCTAAGATAGATAGAATTTCGGAAAACCATTCTCGAATCCATTCCCCGGGACGGAAGATCGCAGGATAGAAAGAGTCTTGCTCGATTTTCATTAAAAGTTTCTTAGCGTTACCGGTATGTACGAGTTTTCCAACTTCGCCGACGCCATTCGCAGAAACTCGCTTCTATGAACGAAAGCAGTAAAAAGCTTCGTTCTCGCCGCTTCAATGTTTCGTCGAAAGCAGTTTGCTCGCGTTTCGATGTATGTACTTAGCCTTCATAATCGCCATGCAAATTACCTCACAAAGCATCCGCACGCGTGCGCGCGCGCCGAGATATCCGGTGCGGATGTTCATGGATATCCGCTTAACCCGTAACGGCTAGATTTCGTTTCGGCTTTCTCATATCGTATGCCTTTTTAAAAATTTTATGCTTTTAATAAACCATTTCCTCTTTCTCTCTTTTTCTCTCTTTCTACCTCGTTGCAAAGCGATTCCCTGTTACGGCTGAAAACGCAATCTATACATTTTATTAAGTTGAAGCAAAAGGTTCATGAATGTTACAAATAATAATAATAATAGTCGTTAATATAATAACGATAATTATAATAATAATAATCGTTAATGTAATAATGATAATTATTATTATATACATTGTATAATTGTATAGCCGTTTGGAAAAGCGTGATATACTAACATAATAGGCAAGATAACTAAAAAATTAACACGCCTAACCCCTCCCTCTTAAAAAAAAATATAGATATAGTGAAAAATAAAATTATCCAATTTCAAAAGACTAACAATCGTTACAAATGTAATGAACAACATCGACTTTGTATCTTGTAGATATTTAATGAGGATTTTCGCTCTATTCTTATCATGTTCAAACTTACTACGAGAATTTAAGAAGGAAATGACATTTTTTTTGCAGCAACCTATATTCAATTGGAATTCGATGCAACAAGCTTTATTTTCACCAGAGTGACACTTAAATTTCAATATTTAATATCGAATATTTAATATCAAATTTTAATATCGAAGTAGAAATATGTCCCAAATTACACGTGATTTAAAATAAAAAAGAAGTAGAGGAAAACATCCAGTAGTTGGCACTCTTGCAAGGATATTGCCAAGTATTAAGGTGTATGAAGATTAAAAAGACGAATAAATAAATAACGAATAATAATTGATAAGTAATTAATAAGTAATAAATAAACGTACACCTGAACACATACATTTAACAAAATCCGACACAAAAGTGCTGGAAACACCGGTGAATGCTGTAACAAGTGCCGGCTACTGGACGTTTTCCTTTACACTGAGAAAAAAATATCTAAAAATTAACAAATATTTATCAGGTAAATGCCATTAACATATTTACTTAAATCAAAATTCTTTACATTTAAATCGAGTATTGTTTACTCGGTTTAAGTAAACACTACTCGGTTTAAATGAAGAGAATTTTAATTTAAGTAAATATATTAATGGTATCCACCTAATAAATATATGTTAATTTTTAATGTTTAAATACTTCTTTTTTCCCAGTGTACATTCCGGATTACGTCGAAGTTGAAAACAAAACGGCAATACTTATCGCCCGCAGAATTTTTTCGAATCGTTAAAATTAATGTCGAATCTTTTTATCGGCATAATCCGCATAATTCGAGTAAAGAAACGGAGGATGGAAATTCTGGAGGAATATCCGTTGCTCGCGTTAGTCCAGGCGGTTGACTCACACTGTCAAAGGCACGTGACGTCTATCCCAAGGACATTGTCGCTCAAACAAACGAGAATAAATAAAGGACTGACAAGAAATGAAAATCCAAGGGTATTCTTCGGACGCGCTGTACAGTCTATGTCATTAATTCAGACCAGAAAGAAACGATGACGACGACGACGTCGTCTATACGTAGGATACCGTAGCTCGGTGCCGTTCGCACGTGGATCAACGGCGAGCTGCGGATCTTTGAGATTGAAATCCATGCAAATGGATGGTCCACGTGCCGTTGCTGAAGCATTTTCAACGGTTGGAGGGTAAGGGACAGAAATAAGCAAATAAAGGGCGACGACGACGACGACGACGGGGCGGTGAGACGTGGTCGCCGTCGGGACGGCGACGCCGAATGACGCACGTCGATGAAGCATGGCAATGGCGAAGGGTGGTCGTAGCAAAAATGGGGCAAGGATCAAAGGGGAAGAAAGGTCGATCAGGGGCTCGTGGAAGGCGCGCTCCAACTCCACCCGAAAGACGCGTTCGCTGTGTGTGAGAGAGAAAGAGAGAGAGAGAGAGAGAGAAATATGTTCGAATTAACGTCGCCGTACAGTCGAGTGTATTCATTTCATGCAGTACGATCGAGCAGAACGCAATATTATCATGCAGGAACAACATGTCCTTTGATAAAAATGTCAAACTCTCTGCTTTTCCTTTAAATACGACCAGTGTCGTTTATAATGTCTTTATTCACAATAGAGGAGAAAGAGAGAGTTCGCTCGAGAGGTATGCATAAGTAACGGCGAACCGTATGGATTTTTCAAAGTCCGACGATTCGTTTTTCGAGAATGTGAGCGTGCGTGCACGGGTGACGTACGCGGAACTGGATTTCGCAGGGGCGATTCGATTTCGCGAGGCCGGCTCGAAACGGTATAGAGGCGAAAATTAAGCATTCGGCGGCTAATTACTGCCGGTGTATTACGCGTGATTTTTCATGAAGCACGTCCCCGCCAGCCGTTTGATTGAAACGTATTTCTATATATTTATTTCACGTGAGAGAATTCTTGTTATATTACATACGCGGTCGATCGCGCTCGTAAACCCCACAGTCTGCTCGATAAACACTCGATTTTTTCTTGTATACTCGAGTGCCCGGCCGCGCGCGCACGCCGGTTACGTGCACACATGATCCGGTAAAATCTCCCCATCGTGCACCGCGCCAACGAGAATATTTACTAACAAATGCTTGGTCACGAAAAGGGTCTTTCAATCGAAATCGCAGAACGCATCGTAACATGGCCGCAGCTCGCCGTCACACGCACCGGAACGACTGACCGGACTGGAATATGAAAGTTATTGTAATATCACTTTGCCATTTACTCCCGCACCGACTGTTTAACTTTCATCAGTGGCCTGATACCTTTGTGGTATATCATCTGCAAGCATTAGCATCAAATTGAATCTACGTCAATGCCTGGGACTCGTAGAAACGCGTGTCTTGGTGGGGCAACCTCGCGCGCTACACATATATATTTATATATGTATATGATGGCGAATCGCTCTCTTTCTCTCTCTCTTCCCCTCGCGAATATTTCCGTCAGCCAACGCTTTTTTTCGTTCCATATTCATCGATCGGGTTTCCGCGTAACTCCAGAACTCCGGCCACTCTCCCGCTCGATCGCCCACCTTTCCTCGTCCTCCGTCGATTTTCAAGCGACAACGAC